TCTTGTGGGACACACTTGTGGGACACTCTTGTGGGACACTCTTGTGGGACACTCTTGTGGGACACTCTTGTAGGACACTCTTGTGGGACACTCTTGTGGGACACTCTTGTGGGACACTCTTGTAGGACACTCTTGTGGGATACTCCTCTAGTGGGACACTGTTGTGGGACAGTCTTGTAGGACACTCTTATGGGACACTCTTGTAGGAGGGCACTCTTGTGGGTCACTCTTGTGGGACACTCTTGTGGGACACTGTTGTAGGACACTCTTCTGGGACACTCTTGTAGGACACTCTTGTAGGACACTCTTGTGGCTCACTCTCGTAGGAAACTCTTGTGGGACACTCTTGTAGGACACTCTTCTGGGACACTCTTGTGGGACACTCTTTTAGGTCACTCTTGTGGAACACTCTTGTGGGACACTCTTGTAGGACACTCTTGTGGGGCACTCTTGTAGGACACTCTTGTGGGACACTCTTGTGAGACACTCTTGTGGGACACTCTTGTGGGTCACTTGCAGGACACTCTTGTGGGACACTCTTGTAGGAAACTCTTGTGGGACACTCTTCTAGGACACTCTTGTGCAAAACTCTTGTGGGACACTCTTGTACGACACTCTCGTAGAACACTCTTGTGGGACAGTCTTGTAGGACACTCTTGTGGGACACTCTTGTGGGACACTCTTGTGGGACACTCTTGTGTGACACTCTTGTAGGAAACTCTTGTGGGACACTCTTGTGGGACACTCTGGTGGGACACTCTTGTGGGACACTCTGTGGGACACTCTTGTGGGACACTCTTGTAGGACACTCTTGTAGGATACTCTTGTGGGACAGTCTTGTAGGACACTCTTGTGGGACACTCTTGTGGGACACTCTTGTGGGACACTCTTGTAGGACACTCTTGTGGGATACTCCTGTAGGACACTCTTAAGGGACACTCTTGTGAGACACTGTTGCGGGACACTCTTGTGGGGCTCTCTTCCAGCTCCCCAGATACTCCGCGTACTACAGTTGTACTACAAGGTCGCCAGTTCTCAGCTTCCAGCTCCACAGATTGCTCCGCGTACTAAAGTTGTACTACAAAGTCGCCAGTTCTC